GACCGCGGCCGCCTGGCCGCTCCCACCTGGGCTCTCCCGGGGCGGGGGGGGTCACGTTTCAAAATACTGCTTTTACGACTTCCCTGTGAATCTGCAGCACTCTGAGGGAGGGAGCGAGCCGGCAGCAGGAGCGGTGACTCTCAGCGCCTTGCAGGGAGTTTGGGTTTTTTGGTAGTCCCGTACGATAGCCTTTCCCCTTGCTGGTATCTTGCCGAGAAACACGAAGGGCGGGGGCAGAGAGGAGCCGGGCTGGAGGGTGAATGTGGAGCAGGTTAACCCGGGGAGAGCGAAATGTTCCTCCCAGAGCGCTGGGGTTTATGAAGGGGCAGCCGCAGGTAACGGCCGGAGGCCGGCGGGAAATGGCCGAGGGGGCTCCGGGGGGAGAGGCCTCCTCCCTGGGGGAAAGCCCCGGCACAGATCGGCAAACGATGCGGCTGTTAACGTAAGGGCACCTAGGAGTAAAGGTAACCTTCGCTGCCTGGAGGCAGGTTAGGGAAGGTAACTTCCTTAAAACCGTACTTCCTGGCTCTTTATTTTCCCTTTCTACCTCAGGAATGGAGTTGAGCATGAAATTAATCTGTACTTGCTGCCTGGACAGTCGCAGTCATAAACATGAGATGTGTTTTTGAGGAGGTGTTAGGATTTTTTGAGCATTCTCACGTTCTGTGTCTTCAGAGAAACCTGTATCGGGGGGGTTCGGTGTTTTTTACACCTGTGTTTTTTGTGTCAAATTTGAGGAGTACATGAATACAAAGGTGACCCTTCTAAGTGTTGATTAGGTAATACCAATTTGAGGTCTGAATATTAAAATGTTCCTCTTCTGATTCATGCTTTACTACCCGTGACGATCCCGTGACCTGGAGTTTACCGAAGGCTGTGCCAGAGCCGCTCCGTGGGCAAACTCCTTCTCCATGAATGAAATAGGCAGTGTTTTTGGAAGTTGAGTCTCGATGTATGTCTTGCAAACTTTTCTGCGTGGACAGACTCCTCTGTCTATTTAACTTCAACGAAGCCTATGAGTGCTCTGTACTCGAGTGATAATTGCCAGGTATAAAGCATCCTGGGAAGTTGCCATAAATCTAGTTTAGCAAGGCAACTTGATATATCAAGCTAGAACAGAATCAGACTTGCAATTCTGAAGCTCCATCAGTGCCGTGCTGCCTGAGATGATGTGATGTAACACTGAAAAATTGTTAAAGATAATAAAATAAGCATTTTTGATACTACATATGAAGAAGGTTGACACAAGGATTTGTGGGTTTTTTTTTTTCCCAAACTGTATACTTTCATGAAGATAACTTCAGAAATAAGCCCTTCTAAAAATAATCTTTGTAACTTGTTCTTTTTGTTGTCATTTTTCTGTGCAAAACTGTGTGGAAGTGAGTCCAGGCCATATTTGAGCTGTTGTGCTATACCTTCATACTTTTCAACTGTTTGTATTACAGAGAAAAATACCTCCCAGACTTCTGTGTGGTCATAATTTGGGTCAATTTTGCACACAACGGATCCTTTGCTCTAAAAACTCCTTACTTCTAAAAGTGGTGAAATCTGTAAAACTGACTGAACAGTGCATATTTAAATTCAGTTACTTAAACAGCTTTGATATGCTAAATGAAGTGTAACAGTTTGTGTAAAGTAGGTTTTTGCTGGGAAGAGGGAGTTTTGAGCTGCTTTTAGAAATAGCAACTGGGAGTTATTTAAAGCATACTTGTATTTTTTTTTTCCAGCTGTAGGTATGTAGAAACACTTGTACAAGAATTCTTTTTTGTTTTGTAGGGTTGATCCATATGGGTTTGAAAGGCCAGAAGACTTCGATTATGCATCCTATGAAGCATTCTTTTCCAGATATCTAGTGGTACTCACTAGAAGAGCAATAAAATGGTCCAAGCTCCTAAAGGGGAATAACAGTATACAGAAGAGTTTAAAAGGTGAGCTGTATGTCTATTTATAGGCAAAAGTGCATTATGTTGGAACCAATATAAATCGTATTAAATTGGTTTGAATTTTTGAATGTTAAATACTATTTTTGTCTTCAAACTACTGTTTTAGTATAAACAGTAATAATACATAAGCAAGTATGCTGTTGTTAGGGGGATAGTTGATTTGATTTAAAGCTTGCAAAGGAGTAATCCTTCTTTGGCATATGCTACAGTATCTTATTATATCTGTAACCCAGAGATTGTGGCCACTGGCACCTCAAGATGCAGTTTTACGGCTGTTTGTTGTATCGCATGCTGCTCTGTGCTCTCTTTAAAAAGACATGAGATTATGTAGAAGACGCTGTCTTGAACCCCAGGGATCAGGATGTTAGTGCTCTCAGTTGCTGACTCTTTGACAGTTTTTTTACATCGCAGAGATTTTCTAGCTTTCCTTATCCTCCTTTTATAAAATGACGTTCACCTCACTGCTAAAATGGTGTGTACTAAGAACTGATGCTAAATGCCTTACGAAGTGAAGAAAGGAAAATTAATGCAGGAGCTAATGCAGCATTGGATAAAATGCTGATGGAACTGTTAATGGCCGCTTCAAAAAGCAAGAAAACCTCTAGTAATGTTTTATCTTGCAAGAGAGGCAGGGAGAAATAAATGGAGGGAGTCAGAAGGTAGCAGGGGATCCTGTGAAACTAAAGGGTGGGGGGTTTTCCTCCCACTCTTTCTCTGGGTTATTTTTTCATGTAAGCATCTAAATTTTCCTCTTTGCTCTTAATGATGCTATTCGGCTTGCTTTCTCTTGGGAGTTTTTTGGAGTTGGGTAGAGTTCTCTATCAATATGCTAAAGAAAAAAAGTGAGTAAAACCAAGCAAAAGTGAGTAAAACCAAGCAAAAGTTAATCAGGCACTGACTGTAACATAGCTGAATGTTCAGAGCTGTGCTTCAGGTGCAGACTTTGACTGCTAATTCTAGTGGTTTTGTTGGTTTGGGGTCAGGGTTTGTTTGTTTGTTTGTTTTTCTTGGCACCAAGAATGGGATGATAACTAGTGAGACATTTTAAGTACAACAGTGTATTTGGTGTACGGATGTCTGTTTTAAGGCTGAGGGATCACAGAAAATGTAGGTTTGAGCCATAGCTGCTAGACCATATGCTGCTAACTAGAAATTAGCCACTTCTACTCTCTTCTTTTTCTTCCAAATGTAAAGAAGCTTTTGTTTAGGGTGTCAAGTTTGAATATAGCAATAACTGTGCGGTGTTTTGAATTAGTGAGGATTTTGAGATTCTGCAGAATTTAGTCTTCTAGTTGTCGTGGAAAAATAATCTCAGGTTTTGATTCATGTCCTTCTTCTCATAAAATGTGTGGACTGTGACAGTGGCAGCTTTTAGCAGTTTCTGTGAGTTTGTTACATTTCTCTTCCCTTGCGTTCCCTGTTCCAGCATTGTAGACACAGAATTCTACTGTGATACAAACAGTGTGAATGCCTTTGGTCTTATTTCAGAGCCAAAACTCTGGCCAAATCTCTCGACTTGTCCAGCAGGCTTCAGTATCGATGGTCATGCTGCCCCACTAGACACCTAATGGCAGTAACCATTAATGTGGTTTTAATTGTCTCTAACAGGCTACTGTTTGTGAAAAATGGGATACCATAAATCCACTGAGTGGACACACGCAATGGTTCTTGACTGTAGCAAGCCCTTGTGGGCTGGTGCATCATCTTTGACATTACTAACTTTTGCTAAAGATACTTGGATTTATAGACTATGCATTCTCATGTATATATGTAATTCTAAGGAGAGTGACTGGAATAAATAATGTTGAGGAAATGTAGTCTGAGTGTAAATTCAAAGTTGTTACAATAAGCCTCCCTCATTATCTTCGACTGATACCTCAGAAGAAGAGAGCAACAGGTTAACCTGCACAATTACTGATTTTTAAACACTTCCCTTCTTATATCAGTATTAAGACTGAAGTCTGTGGCATATTATGTAAGCAGTTATCCTGCAAGATGATCCTGCAGTGATTTCCTTGCAGGCAGTCAGAGAGCAGAAGGTCTGCCTGGTGATGCACTGAATTTCCCTCCTCTAGGACCTGACTTCGTTGCTCTGAAGCTTTGCGTAGGGGCTGCTGGTTCTGAATAACTTGCCCTCTGCTGCAGGTCGGCCATAAGCTAGAACTGAGAAGAATGTTTGATTTGCCGCTTCCCCCTCTGAACGCAATAGCTGTATCTGCAAACCCATATCCTTATTTTGAGTTCTACTGGGGCCTTTTCAAAATGTATCCTGCTGTGAGTAGACAAGAAAGGCATTGTACGTGTGGTATCTCAGTAGCTCCACACCCAGTTGTCTTTATACATAGAGAAGCTCATAATTCCTGTCCGGGTGAACAGGAAGAAGTGATGACTTGCGGTAATTTTCCAGTTTGGAAATGTGGCATGTTCACATGCTACTGTGTTTGCCTCACATCCAGGGTGGTATGTATGTATATAATTCTGTTCTACTGTAAAGAAAAATAATTAGACTACATTTTAACAACGGTAATTAAGCAGCATATCCTGTTGCTCTGGATTACAGCCTTCCGGGAGGCCAGGTCATGGGAATTTTGGCTGACGGTTCCTTTTGCTCATTCTCCAGTCTCTTCCTTTTTGTTGTTTTCTGGTATTTTGTTTCCCCCTCTACCCTTGTTATCTTCACTGTCTCCTCTGCACATGTGAATGAATTTTCAGTCAGTGTTCAGTCACTTGCCTCCTGTCTCTCTCCACTACTACTGAGATCCTCTTAATTTTTGGTTTCTCCATTCAGCTGTGTGCTGGTTTTGGCTGGGGTAGAGTTAATTTTCTTCACCGTAGCTAGTATGGGGCTATGTTTTGGATTTGTGCTGGAAACAGCATTGATAACACAGGGATGTTTTCATTGCTGCTGAGCAGTGCTTACACAGAGTCAAGGCCTGTTCTGCTTCTCACCCCACCCCACCACCGAGTAGGCTGGGGGTGCACGAGAAGTTGGGAGGGGGGACAGCCGGGACGGATGACCCCAGCTGACAAAAGGGACGTTCCATACCATATGATGTCATGCTCAGCATATAAATCTGGGGGAAGAAGAAGGAAGGGGGGGACATTCGGAGTGATGGCGTTTGTCTTCCCAAGTAACCGTTACGCGTGATGGAGCCCTGCTGTCCTGGAGATGGCTGAACACCTGCCTGCCGATGGGAAGAAGTGAACGAATCCTGGGTTTGCCGATGGGAAGCAGTGAACGAATTCCTGGTTTTGCTTTGCTTGTGTGTGTGGCTTTTGCTTTACCTGTTAAACTGTCTTTATCTCAACCCACGAGTTTTCTCACTTTTACCCTTCCGATTCTCTCCCCCATACCACCGGGGGGGAGTGAGCGAGCAGCTGCGTGGTGCTTAGTTGCCAGCTGGGGTTAAACCACGACAAGCTGCTATCTTTATGGGACCAAAAGACAGGTTTCCGCTCTGGCTTGTTTACAGGCAGGCAACAAACTGCCTGACATAATTGCCCACAGTAGCTTAATTCTGACCAAAAGTGTACTATGTAAAAGAATTTGGCTGTAAGTGGATTAGTCAAAACTGACCAGTAGCAGAAGGTGCTTTCTAGTCTTTGAGGCCAATACAGTGGAAGGTGAAAGTAATGGTACTAAACAGTGATTATAACAGGAGCACTTCTGTTCCAGCCCAGGGGTTGGAGGAAGGAAGGAGCATCTTATGTTTCATGTTTGACTGTAACTTGAACATTTACAGCGCAGATCTGCTTTGTTTCTTCTGTGATGTATTCATAAAATAAAACTTTCAATTCCTTGTTGTATGCTGTTTTCAGCTCTTTTGTAGACTCTTTCCTCTAGGGTCCAAGTTAGTTTCCTCAGCATTCAACAGTAATTGTTAGTAACTGAGAAAGTAACTGAAAAGTGCAGGTGCTTCTCAAAATCACACTCTGCTAATATTTTAGATGAGATAATTTTTGTTTTTAAATGGGGTTTTCCTACATAAATGTAGTCTATGGTGTAGAGTGAAACAATGTTAGTGGGGGGGGGAAGGTAAATACAACTTTACCTAGAAGCAAAAACCTCCAAAATTCTCATACTCTACCATTAAACAAGGACAGGCAGGTTTAAAGTGATTTACTTATTTTTAAATCTTGTTACTATAAGTAGTGCACAGTATTGGAAAATGTTATTTTCTGCATATTTTTTTCTTGAAGTTATTTTGGGTATTTATCAGCACTTCTAGACTGCTACCCTATCATGTAGCTGTTTTTTCTTGTAACAAGAAAAACATATTAGTAAGTGTGACTCTAAACCTGCAGAAACTGGCACTGGGTGTCAGAGGTAATGGAATTAAGACTGATTTTTTTGGCTTAAAAATTGATGTTTCATATTTTGTTTATGAACAGAGGCAAAAATTTCACATAAAGATATTTCTTTACTACACATGTTTTAAAGCTTAGACTGTGTTGTGTACACTGTGGTTGTCCTGGGAGTGATTCTGCACGTGGATACTCAGGGCTTGGTGGTATTTAGCAGTGTTACTTTTGAGATCAAGCCCCTGGTTTACAATTGGAGTCGGATATGTGATTGGAGACACATGCACAATGCGGCTTCATCTGTGAAAGCTTCTTAAATGTTACAGTGGGAGGATACTCTGCAGTGTGGGCTGTTGTCGTGGGCTTTTTAGTTCCTGAGGGTAATGTGGAAGAGGGCCTACAGAAAACAAAATAAATACCTATTTGTATAAAACAATATAATTTAATGTGTAGAATATGACATATATAAATAATACGTATATATAAAAAACATATTAAATTGCAACTGTCCTTATTTTCAAAACTACTTTGCTGCTTCTGTATGCCAGTTTGCAGACCCTGGCAAGTATGATAATGGTGTGAGGAAGAAAAGCACCATGTAAAGGGCTTTTCTATTCCTCGGGGGGTGGGGGAGCTGGGGTAGGTAGTCACTTGGGGCGATACAAGCCTCTGGCTGTCTATTACCATGAGAACGATGACACTGAGGAATAATGAGTGTATGCTGTGCTGCAGGGCTGCTTTCCCCTTGTGCCAGTGTCAAAGGCTTATCCCTGCTTCTCTTGAATTTAATGTGTGTGGCTGGATGTGGATGTTGGCTGTGCTTTCAGAATTGACAGTTTTTCCAGAAAAAAATACCATTGGAATTATATGTTAGAATATGATAATCCAGTAATCTAGCTAGTAAGTTTGCTTCTGGAGACATTCGCAGACTCATCCGAATGTCTCTTCTTGTTGACCTAAATGGGACTGGTTCCTCATATTCATTCCTGCATTTGCTATGTCCATCTATGGGATTTCTTGAGCATTAGAGTTCAAAATCTTCTAAAAAAGATGAAGTGGGGATTATTAAACAACCATAGAAACAAGTACATTATTTCCAGTCTGTCTAAAAGAAGGTTGTAGTTAAAGTTACTTTACAACTAGAACAGTAGAGACTGTAACCCATAGTATAAATCCTCATCGAAAAGCTAAACAAAAACTTTACCCTGAAGACCAGGTGTTTATTGCAAATGTTGAGGGTAGGAGTGTTTCTGTGAGAGAAAGTACCAGATTTTAGGTGGGTGAAATGCCCGTTAGAGATGCACGGATCTCTCTGTTGACCCTGGGAAAACAGCTTTGGCTCCTAAAGGATAGGCACCTGCAATTAGGTGGAATGTATTTAGAAGGTGGCTGGCCGAGTTGTTGTAAAACCTTGTTTCACTCTGCTGTTTTTAAGGCTTTTCATTCGGGCAACATTTGTCTTGAGTTACAGATCTTTGTGATTGGATAAAACCAGATCAGGTAATGATCAGGTAATGTGTGTGTCTGTGTGTAGGCAAAATAAAAATCCCCACTCTCATTTGAGTCCCATAGAATTTAGGGAGGAGAAGTTGATACTCTAATTGATACAGTCTCATTCATTTAGTAAGAAATGTCTGGTTCCTTTGTCAGTTTCTTCTCCCTGGAAAAAGCAGAAGGATCTCAAATATTTGGCTGTCTTTTTGGATCAGAAGGGGTAATGCTGATTTAGGATTATGTACCAATGAGCAGCACTGGGTCCTTATTAATATTTTTCATACCATTCCCAGGAGGAAGCTGCTTTGGCTGTCATTAGCCTGATGCTTCTTCCTGCAATCTTGCATCCTAGTTATTTGCACTGAATCATCTGCTTTGAAAAAAAACCCCAAAGCACACCCTGATGATGAATATGATGCAGGAGATAAGAGCTACTTTAGATTTGAAAAGACTTCCCTGGTTATTCTCGGAAAAATCATCTGCTGCTTGCTCACTTCACCGGTTCTTCCAGAAGCTCATTTAGACAGTAGCCACATATTTCATATTTCTCAGAGTTTGCTATGATTTCAGTGGTTAGGTGCTAAGCTGAAATCCTCGGGTTATGTTAACATAGCCATTTATGATAGAGCATAACCAAGCAAACGGAAAGGGTTATCATGTCAGAGGCCATTGGTAATGTAGGGAAGGAAAAAGTCAACGCTCATCTGAATGAAAAAGGACGAAGACTAAGGGGAAACTTTGCTGTTCATATCTCCATTCAGAAAGGTGGGAAGAAGAGGAAACGATTCAAAATCCTAATAGGGGAACAGAGGAGGGAGGAAAGCTTGGGTCTGGAGATCTGTGTGGGGAGTCTGAGTGGCAAGAACATAGAAGTGAATTTAAAATACACTGTGTAGCTGACAAGGAAATGCTTATCCTAAATGGTAGCGTTGGAGAGAAAGCAGAATAGTCTCTAGTCAAGAGTTTTCCTATGACTTCTCAACTTTCTGTTGCTCATTTCCAAAAGAAAAGTACAGCTGGATTTTTTTATTTATTTAAAAAACAAACCACCAAACTTCTTGTTTTGCAGTGAAGAGATATATCAGGAAAGGCATCCCCAATGAACACCGTGCATTGATCTGGATGATTGTGAGTGGGGCCCAAACCAACATGGAACAAAACCCTGGCTATTACCACAGACTGCTTGAAGGAGAGAAGAATGACAAGCTGGTTGAAGCAATCAAAACAGGTTATTGTCTTGATAACACTGTTTATCCATCCTATGTCCTTAACTTGATCTCTAACATTTATGTTATGGAAAACTTACATTTCTGTAGTAGCGGTTTAAGTGCTGAATTAACATGTAAATTAGATTAGCCATAAGTTCTTTAACAGCACAGATCTTCCCAGGTTCATCATGTGGTCAAAAGCATTAAGGAAGATTAGAAATTATTTGGGAAGGAACAGAGAACAAACTAGAAAACATTATGTTGTCTCCTAAGTGACTGAAGAGTTACAACTTTGTAACCTGCCCTTGGGTCTGTTTCTCCTTACTTCTGTCCTAGTAGGGCACTGGAAGAGCAGCAGGGATGGTTGAAGATGTGGTACAGTGTTCGTATGAGGCAGGTGAAGTATGCTAGGATTTCAGCTTGAGGAAAAAGACTGCTGAGAAAAAGCTGCTGATAAAGCTATATGAATTATAAATGGTGTAGAGAGGGTGGATGGGGAGCAATTGTTATTTGTTTCTTGTAACATAAGAACCAAGGACACTGAATGAAATGTGCCATGCTGCAGGTTTAGAAGAGCACATCACTGAATTGTGACACTTGTTACTGGAGGGTGCTGCTGAGGCTAGAAGTACAAACTGGTTTAAAAAGGAATTTGACAAACTGAGGGGTGGGGAAATCCACCTGATGCATGAAATCCTAAACACTAAATGTAAATCCCTGAAAGAAGGGAAGTGTAGGAGGAGAAATACCCTTCCTCTACTAATCCAGTTTCATATGTGCTATCTGTGAACATTGATCAGTGGCCGATATTGGTGACAGGGTATTAGGGCAACCAGGCCTTAGACTGGCCCACTGGGTGTTTAAAAGAGGCAGTAGGGGAGGACAAGCAAGTAGAAGTTTGATGTAACTGGTATTTGTCCTGAAACTTTTCAACCTGCAGCTCCACTGCAGCGGAGCTTTTGTAGACAAGCTCATACTGGCTGAGTTGCCCAATTAATGAGTCAAGAGGTTGGGCTGTACTCTGGACAAGCACAATGCTGAGGTGGTTTTGTTAGAATGGCAGGTGCAGTTGTCATCTTTTTCCTCTTGAAAAAGCCAGGTAGTTGAAGTTGGGGCTTTATGGATGTTTATTCGAGTTGGATAACCATCTGAACACTTCTTGGTTTATGCTGAGTTTCTCCTCCACCTCTCCCCGCAACAGTCAAGAGGTTGGGCTGTACTCTGGACAAGCACAATGCTGAGGTGGTTTTGTTAGAATGGCAGGTGCAGTTGTCATCTTTTTCCTCTTGAAAAAGCCAGGTAGTTGAAGTTGGGGCTTTATGGATGTTTATTCGAGTTGGATAACCATCTGAACACTTCTTGGTTTATGCTGAGTTTCTCCTCCACCTCTCCCCACAACAGCAGCAGCAGCACTGTGGGCTTTTGGGACTACACGCCTTAGTAAGGCATTTTGGAGCATAAACTTTCATGTTCCTACGAATATGAAGACTAGCCAGAAATCTTCAGGCTCATATCCTGCTCAGAACTAGAAACGGTAGAGCCCTAACTGTGAATACAGAGGGAGCTACTAAGATGACTTTCCAAAGCCAGCCTTGGTAAGGGCCTGGAGAAGGATCAAACTGTATTCAGTTGGGGTACAATTGCTGCAAGAGGGAGTTGCAAACAATTTCTTCTCCAGTATTAGACAATGACATGAAGGGTCATATCATGACAGTAGGTGGCTTTTCATACAGGTTATACCATGAAATAAAAATATTTCTGTGGGGGAGGAAAAATAATGGAAGAAGATAAAAATCTATTTGTGAATTGTGGAGGAAATAAAGTTTTGGAAGAGCTACTGCATCGGTTGGAAAACTGCAGAAGAGAAAACTAACAAGGAGCAAGTGAGAGAAGGGATTAAAAAAAAAATGGGTTGGAGGGTTTTATTGGAGGAAAAAAAATAAAAAGAGGACCTCGGCCTCCAGAGTGATAGATTTCCCTTCAGGATGGAAGAAACAATGTGAAGTACAAGGGACCGAAGGAGCAAAGTACTTAAGGTGAATGGAAACTTTGTGTTTAATAAACTTAGTGCTCCTGTTGACAGTGCAAATTTTATAGCGGGCTTTAGCTGAGGACTGTTTCAGTGTGAGTTGTTGTTTGACATTCAGTTTGTTTCTGCCTGTGTTGTTGTCCCACCACTGTAGCTGTTTTTAACAATAGACTAAAGTAAGATGTGGAACCTTGCTGCTGTTCACTTTTCATGTCTGCAGTTTCCAAATCTTTCAGGCAATTGTGCTGTGTTTAGTCCTGCAGTCTAGCTGTAAAGTTATAGCCCAGGACAATGCTGCAGTTTAAAAACAAGAGAACAGCAACCACGCTTTCTTTTTTTCTTTTCAGGGGGAGGGGCAGGAAGACAAGGCCAACCAAAGACTTTATTTCAAATTCAATTTAAAATATGTGTAAAAGCCAATATGTCCTGTTTCTTTTACATAGCCAGAAGCTCCAAACAATTTTCACGTATGTTTGGAACTTATTTTCAATATGGGAATGTCTTTAATGGGATATAATCAGGTTAAAAAGTGCAGGTAGACTGTATAGAGAAATGGTCTAATCTTTAAAGAAAAATCTGATTAATAACAGCAGAAGTCTTTCAGCTAAATAAATCTAAACTGCCCTTTCACCATTTTTGCCCTTTAACTTGCTGATTCTTAACTGATGGGCTTTATTGCTGACTTTGTTTTATATGGTATTTGCTGTTTGAAGATACTTTTTTTTTTTTTAAAGAGAAACGTAGGAGAGAGCAGGCTTCTTACTCTAAACATAAAAATAAGAGCTTAAAGAATGCAGGTCTCTAAATTTTGATGGAAATTTTCATGGCTTAGTTTACGTACGCATTTAGAAGGGCATGCATTCCTACTGAGCTTTGTTGTTCATGCCCTATTATAGTAAAGTTTAGTAGGACAAATGATGTTGGCAGGATAAAATGTGGCTGTCCTCCTAATGCAAAGGCTACGTGCTGGTTACAGAAAGGCTGGGGTCTAAGTTGATGTAGCTTCCTAGCAGTAAGCCCCCCTTAGGCTGGGCCATTGAATTTCAGAGTAAGTATGTCTGTGTCTGCAAGTCCTCTCGCATGCAGCTAATATCCACGTTTCCACTCTTGCATTTCATGAGGAGGAGTTGTAGGTGCTGTGAAACCCAGGGTCTGGTATTTATCAGTCAGACCCCTGAGCCTGTGCTGCACTGCGTGACTGCTGGCATCAGGATCTGACTGCGTGGATTGGATAGTAGTTGCAGGATCTTAGTTTAGTTTATGATGGGTTCAGAAAAGTAATTCAAACAATAGCTATTGCCACTTCACTGGAGACAGTGAATATTCTACTATCAAAGCACTAATAAGCTTCTCTGAATGGGGTTAAACTATTAGTGAAGGTTGGGAATTTTCACGTGTGTTTAGGGCATTTAACCATGCAAGAGCAAGGGGAACAGCAGTGTCAGCTCTTCTGGCTCTCTGTAAGAGAAGCCATATCAGGTCATATCCAAATGGCTACCTCATCTGGCCTTCTGTCTACCAGAACAGCTAAAGGAAGAACTGGAGGAGTAAAGTGTGTAGTGTTACCTCCTCAGAATGTTTTTCCTAGTCTCCAGTTATCTGTGGTTTGGGGAGTTCCTGAGTCATATGCCACACGTTTGTAGTTAGTAACACTGGATGGGGAAAAAACTCACAAGAAAACTCTGGTTGCTCCTTTTCCATGTCATTTACCTTGCTCATGATTTTGCAGATTTGTGCTGTCTTGCTCATAAACATCTCCCTCCAAACTAAGGAGCTCTAATCTGCCTTGTTTTATACTATGTATGGTAGCCATTTCATACCTGTGATGATCTTTGTTGCCATTCTCTTCTGCAGTTCTTCTCCAATTCTGATATCACCTTTTGGAGATGAAGGGGACTGGAATTTATGTGGGTGCTTCTCAGATTTACACAGTGGCATTATTGTTCTTTCGTAGGAAACCCTAACCCTGTTTGCTTTCTTGATTGCTGCAAGCAAGAACTGTTACTTGGTGCTGGTAGTGGAGAGTGTCAGGCTCAGTTTCTCTGGTTTTAGTTGATAGCAAACTTGACCTTAACTTAAAAAAACAAACCAAAAAAACCCCCCAAGCCTCCAAAATAATTTCTCGTTCCAGGTGTTGCAGGGAAAAGCTTGAAGATGAGTCCTAAATATCCAGTTATAACAAATTTAAAATACCCTTTAAGTATATTATTTTTTACAAGTTGTAACTGATGACCTAACCTCATTATTCTGGGGGTTTGCAGTGGAGTTTTTGAATGCTTGTAGTTGGCAGTTGAGGTGAATTTTTGTCTGCTCTTTAATAAGTTTAAAAAAAAAAAAAAATTACCTGACTGGAAGCTATTCAGATCAGATGCAAGTTACGGATGTAGCAGTAGCCAAGAAGTGACTGTAAGTGGAGTAGAGGATGTTAGTTATAAAAGTACTTGTGTAATTTACTGGGCACTGTGTCTGGGAGTGGGAAGCACCTGGATATGAAGGGAAGGTAAGAACAGAAAGGATGAGATAGCAAGATGAAGGTTGACTTGTAGGTGCCTGACTTTTGAAGTACCCTAAATATGAAAAGCACAAGACTGGTACAAAAGTATTTGTTTTCTTTTCTTGACCGCACATTTAAATCTCTTTGCTCTGGAAATAGCATCAACAATTGTGATTCCAGGTACCAAAATAGATGTCTGTTTTATAAACTGAGGCTAATGTGGCTTTCTGCCTATGTTTGTATTACTGAATGGGAGGTAGAAATACTGCAGACCTATGAAAGGGAAGAACCAAGCCAATGGTCTCCTCATGGTTGCTGCACAGAGATAAATCAACAGGAAAGGAAAGCTGTTGGTTTTATTTCACAGCAGCATAATACTGCCACCTCACAGCACTGAAAGATCATCTAAAAAAATGCTATTGGGATTTAATCTGAGTTTACTGCAAAGGAGTAGCTAGTCTTTTCTTTGTGGCCTTCTTCCTGGTCCCATGCTCCTATACCTAGTTTGGTTATAGCCAGCAGATCTGCACACGGCCACAAGATGGTCGTAGTTTTGGGGTTTACCTAGCAGTATAAAGTTCTAATGTTCATTTCCCTGCTTGAAAACAATTCTGATGTTTTTTTTTTCCCCAAACTGGACTAGTTTGAGGCTGTGTTTCTTTGGATGCTAATGTCTATCAAGAATGAAGTAGGTTAATGGATAGCAGGTCAGAGGGTGGGCTTCACGGAGCAGGAGAAGGAGGTGTTTGGATGTCTCCTCTGGGACAGGTGTAGTAAAGTGCGGGTAAGCGCTCAAGCCAAATGAACAGCTCTCGCCTGCTCCTGCCATTTGCCTCAAGTCATGTCTGGCAGTCTTCTTGTAGTACGGTAAAACACAGCAGTTTGTGTGCGCTTGGGGAGAGGGTTGACTTCCCTCACCTTGCAGTCAGAGGAGCCTCAGAGCTGGAGGAAGAGGGAGAGCATGCAAATGGAGCAGAAAGGGGAGGATGGAGAGGAAGCGGGACCCCCTGCTCTTGGTGCGCTCAAGATAATAATCTGGCACAAGGAGTCCTGTGAAACCATACCCTATATCTTCTATTAGGGGTAAAGACTTTTAGCTCTTGTATCTTGTTTTTGTCCCAGTCTCCTCTCCCCAAACTAAAATGCTGTTACTAAATATAAAGAAAAGTTTTAAATCCTTCATGAAATTAGGGAAGACTTCCCCCAGTCCTTGCGGGGAAAACATGCTCTGCAATCAGAAAGCAAATTGGAGCTGATTCTCTCAACTGCAGGCCTTCCTCAGGTTGTGAAATTAAAGATGAGTTCAGTCTGAGTAGTCTCCGCTCTCTATGCGATGGACTTTTCGTACTCCCCCCTCACCCTTGCTCTGCATAGCTGAGGGGAAGAGCCATAACAGAAATGTCAGCATTAATCTTTTCTGTAACATCCAGCATATACTTTAATAAACAAAAAATTTCGATTATGCAAATACTATGCTGCTCTTCCTACCAAGAAGAAACAAAACAAGTTTGTTTATTCTATGACTGGCTGTTGCTCAAGTCCTTTTAAAAATTGTCTTTTTCCTTGTGTGTTTCTTTTTCTTTTCAGTCACATGAGAGGTGAAGTGAAATATTTCCCCGCCTTCCCATTTCTGTAAATGATTTGTTCAAAAGGAAGAAATAGTGATTAGTGCGATAACTTTTTAATGCTTGTGACTTCCATTACACTACTTGTGATTTTGGGGAGCTTTCTTCCCTTGGTTGCTTACAGCTCAACTTTGTGTCAAAGCTGTAACAGACTTCTTCCTTTATGCAGGAAAAGGCTGATAAGAAGTGATAACTCTTAGGACATAGATATCTGTACAGTAGTGCTGTTACTGAATTTTTATTTTTATTTTAACTTTAACCCAATTTTTTGTTGTTGTTAAATATAACCAAAACAACTATTCATATTTTATTACTAAGCCTTGGGTTTTGAAAATCTTCAAAGTTATTTTTGAATAGGATTTTTCTCCCCAACTTAAACACCTAAAAATCAAATGCACAAGTCTGGACTAGTGACCTTGGGTTCCCTCTATAAAGAGTGAAGCAGGCCAAAAATTAACTCTGCCTGTTGCTTTCCAACAACTAAAAGGAGTTTTGGGTGACTAGCTCAAACTTGCGTGTCTAATTTTTAGACCTTTGTAAGGAGAGATGAGTCGTACTATTCATGTTTGGTCTGGAAGAAATGAATGTTTTGAAGTGTCAGTAATTGCATAGTCCTTACTTGGTTTAGGATTGAGCTTGAAGCATGTGGGATGTGCTCTGCTGCTTGGATATCAAAAATCACTCTCCTTCTCGGTGATCTTGCACCAATGAAGAAACAACTTTTCTCATGGTCACATCACGGAGAAACTTAAAAAAACTTTAAAAAGGTGATTTTAAGTGGAAGTCACCAGCTGCAGGAACAGGACTTTTTTTTTTTTTTTAGCCTTTCAGGACTGTTTGGTAGAAGTTCACTGAATAAGTCAATTGAAAGTTCATCTGATTTGTTATGAGAATATGCTTTCCTAGAGGCGCAGCTCATTTCATGCCACTTGGCTAAATTTGTTATGTGTTGTTTCTGTCAGTCTAAATGTCTGGTTCGCTTTCATTTAAGCCTTTGCAGTCAGACGTTGAGAGAGTCCAGTCTGCTGGAGAATTTCTTTAGTCCTGCTTGAAATTGATTTATGTACGCTAATAGGATTAATCTTTCTAGGAATAGATTATCCTTGAATGCAGATGGTCTTTTAGCCAAAATGGAGGTAAAGCTGTTTCTTAAAATTCATCCACCAAAACTACAGTTTAGTGAACCATAGTGAAGTTTCAGTTGTACTTCAGAAGAGCTGTAAAAGTTTGTTTGGAAAGTGAAGGAGGGAACGGCTGTTAATTTTGGTCTTTTTTCCTTTTGTCTAGACATGAACAGAACATTTCCAGATAATGTAAAATTCCGCAAAACTGCTGATCCCTGTTTGCAGCATACACTCTACAACGTATTGGTAGCATATGGGCATCATAATAAAGCAGTAGGATATTGTCAGGTATGTAATCGCTGGTTTGTTTTTTGTTTTTTTTTAACAATGCTGCATTTCACCAATGGTAATTGTTCTTGCCCATTTGAATGTGTGTTTTTAGAAGCAGATCCACAAACTATTTCTGTTTTTTAAAATGTCCCTCGGAGGGGGGGAAATGAATCTCTTCAGGCGAGTTCAAATGTCCTTGTGAGTTTCTCTGTGGCCTTTTTTGTAGCTAGCTTGATCATGTTTGGTTCAATTTGTTAGCTGCAAAATAAATGTTTTATCACACATGGTTGTATCAAGATTAGTTGCTTTGGAGAGGAAGAGAAAGCGAGCTTGCCTTTCCTTCTTCCTCCCTCCTGCCATCTTTCCCAAAACAGTCCTTGGTACATACAAGGCATCATGAGATCTCAGTTTCCTTTGTTTTCACTGTCACGTTTTTCAAAATACAGGAAGACCAGCATTCATGTGACATAACGTAGTTGGGGGCGAGGTAGCATTTATTTGGTGCCATCTCCCAATATAGACAGGCAAATAAGAAGAAAACTTGTTTGAAATTCAGCCTGATATTGCTTAGAAGGCAGCTCCTGTCGCCACTGCCAAGTACTGTAAAGTTTCCCGTGGGACACAAAGAAGATAAAAGTTGATTCATGACAGTCAAGAAAAAAGCGGCCATCTTTAAGGATCATAAAGAAGCAGGAACTGTCATCAGCAAAATGTGTTTTCAGTTCACTTAAGTCCTCTCCTCTCTCCTCCCCTTCCTCACCAAGGAGATGTGTGCTAACCTATACCTCATGTTAGTTGAGAAAGTTAGTACAGTAAGTACAACTGTTCCAAAGTTAAAAGAATATGAATTGTATTTATTGAAATCTGGAGAGGAGAAGACTTGGAGAGACTTAAACCTAGACTGAAGTCACTAAAAAAAATTCTCTTTGTGTATCCCAACCAGTTTTAATACATAAATTATTTGAAGAATGGGAGTAAAAGAGGAATGATTTTTATTATTTTCAGTATTATGTATTTATTAAAATACAGTTTTAATATTTTGAGAATAACAGAAGGGGTAGAATTATGAATACTCTCTTTTGCTCCTATATAGAGGTAATTATACACACAAATACACACAACTTGTAAACCATGCTAGCTTCTACCCAAAATATATGTCCAACTGTTACTAAAAAGTTTTGGTACATTAACTGTTTAATCTTTGCATTTTAACTTGGCATTATGAACACTGGAGATGAAAGAAGATGACTTAAAAAGCCTTATGTGATTTCTTTTCACCTCTGGTCTCCTCACAGGATGATTGTTATCTTTTCTGGCTAAATAATTAGAACATAAACCAAAGGTCAACATCAGCTTTCCAAGGCATGTTGTAAATCAAGCAAAGTTTCAGGAAATCATCTTTTCTGCTAGTGAAGCAGCAGACTTTATCAAGATAGATATAGTGATACCCACTGCATGATAAGAGAGAGCCTGTAAACACTAGAAAACTCAGAGTGAAAAATGGAATTTTTTTTCCCAAGTGTTTTGCGGAGCTTTTACTGACTGAAGGCTCTTCAGGGGATATTTTCATAATGCTAGTGCATTTGTGGTACTTACTGGCACTTAAGTCTCCCATCTGGGAGTGTATTAGGCTTTGCATTGTCATGCTGTGACAGTGGTACGGTGTTGCCTACCCTGGTATAACCAGCAAAATTCAGTGTCCTGTGAACATACACTCCAGAGTAGTCTTTTGTGCATGCCATGTTAAAAGCCAAACAGTCTCTCGTCACCACAGATGCAATTACTAAGCTAACTGTCAGCATGGAAACAAATAGTTGCCTTCCTAACTAGAAGGCCAAGCACCGTGTAAGGCCATGCAAGGTCTATCCAAGCCATTTGTGTAACAACTGCTGTAGTGACTCAAAGCTTGACAATGAAACATGGGAGAGGATGCAGTGTCCTAATACTTCCATGTTCTGGGAGTGTTGCAAGGCCTTCTGAGACGGGACAGGTGAGTCAATTCTGTTGAATGCAAGAAATGAGATCTCAGTTCAGAGAGGAAGTTGTAGCTTCCAGAAGCTGCAAGGGGCATTCTTTTTGGTAGCTGTCGTCTGGCTCACAGCCATAATTAGCAGCACTGCAGGATACCCAGAGACAGTGGTGCTGCCTGCGATGATAGACATGCTGGAGAAGTCCAGCTTGGAGGGAGAGAGGACAGGGAGAAGGCCAAAGACAGGGATGAAACCGAAGAAGGCAATGTAATCAACACCAGCCTTCATAGCCTGTAAATATTTAAAGATAATTTTCTGTTAGCTTAGGAAGACTTTGGGGGGGCTTGCACCTCAGAGGCAGCTTTTGTATATTGTCGTACTGATGTGCTGTCTATGTTATTACGGTTGTCAGCTTGTTTATGATGGAAGAGACTTACTTAAAAAATGCTTAAGAAAGTGGACTACTGTGCATGTAAATCAGTAATATTGCCATAACTTAGCAGTGTTATGGTGGATACAAGAAAAAAGTGCCCGAGACAGAGGCAATGTGTTTACAGGGAATACCAGTTTGTGACCCATGTGTTCTGTATGTCACTTCTCCAGTCCGAGAGTGTCAGTAACAGTTACGAAAATTACACAGTTGGAATTTGGCCAGTCATGACTTGGCTACTTTTCACAAACTTTCTGGTAGCTCTTGCAGTGCCCCCACCTCCCGGTGTTTACCTTCTGTTTGCATGTTGAAAGGCAGGAGCTATAGCGGCCAGTCATTGCCTAGCATGTGGAGTACTAGAGGTATTATGGAAGCAAATGATTTGTACGCAGTCATTTGATGAGTTAAGCAGCAGCAGCTTGTAAAAGCTGCTGGAGCTGCAACTGTTTTACTAAAGAGTGTTTGGGTCAGGCATTCTCCTTCTGCAGCTGCACTGTCTACCTGCAGGTGTGTTGTGTTCGTACTGCACATCTAAGCCAGCTGTGTTCTGGTCAAAGCAGTCTTCAGTTACATTGGGAGAGGGCTTTAGGATTTAAAAAAAAAAAGAGGAAAATTGAAGGTAAATTATAGACTACTAATCTTTTTCTTTTAATTTTCCTCTCCTTGATCTTTGTTAATAATTCTTGTTAGCTGTTGTCATGCAGGTTCAACAGCTTACTCAACCGGTGGCCTTTATTACTAGATTTTACTTAATATGTCCACTTTATAGAACTGTAGTAATTTAGCCCTTAATAGAAAGAAATAAACTAGAAACTCTTAAGATAAGTGTATGCATCTTAAAACCCTTCTTTCTATTTCAGGGTATGAACTTCATAGCTGGATACCTGATTCTTATTACAAAGAATGAAGAGGAGTCCTTTTGGTTGCTAGATGCTCTTATTGGAAGAATATTGCCTGGTATGCTAAAAACATATAGTTGTATTCATATATTGGAGCTTGGCTTTTATTTTATCTTTGCATTCTTCTCCATTTTTAGAGGTTTTAGATGTTAAAATGGACTTGCATGGACTGAAGATTTTCTAGGGTCCTGAAAACACAGGGCAAAGACACAGCACGCAGGCAAAACTTGTCTGTTTTATAGTCAGATTTTAGTCTTGATGCAGTGGTTTATGCGTATGTTAATTTGCAGTCTGTCTTCTCACTCCCTACTTATACCTGTTAGGTAGATGTCTTCCTATATCAGTATGATGCTGGGGAACAGGACTTGGCAAAGGTGTCTGGGATTTGGCAGTTATGGTTGCAGGAATATGATGCGAGACACAGATGAAGCAGTGATCACAGAGCAGAGCAAAGGTGGGAGATGTGCACAGTTTGAGCACTGAGCTTAAAGTAGGAATTCCCAGTGCCTTGGCAAGAGGCAGGATGAGCTTTCTTCAGGGGTATTTGGCAAGTAGGCACGGTAGTTTCTGCTGTCCCCTGCTTCTGAGCAGGGATACCTTGGGCACTTTACACATTGTGATTTTGCAACAAAGCAAACAAATGCCAAAATCCCTGTCTGTGTCTGTATGGGAGGTTCTTTTCAAAGCTCTGTTATAATCAATGGTGATCTAGCCAGGCTGGTCAAAAAAGTCTAGAGGGAAATTCAGCACACCCTAAGCTACAGACAATATCTACATCTGGTCAGTTCAGTAGCGCTCTAGGTTCCCTTGCCTGATCTCTGGGTTAAAGATATTAAACAAGACCGGCCCCAGTACTGAGCCTAGTTCAGTAGCGCTCTAGGTTCCCTTGCCTGGATCTCTGGGTTTGCAGGAGGTGTTTCCACAATGAATTTTGCCCCGTGTATAAGCTGAATCTCACTGCATGTGTGAAGTAGTTTAAAACCAGAAGCAGACATCAGGCACAGCTATGTTTTATACTCCTGCGAAATACATCTGGCAATGTTCTTTCTTGGGATTTAATTGTAGAGGAAGAATGGTTTCATTGTGAATTCCCATCAGCATTGCACAGGACTGACTACAGCTACACCCTTAATGTAAAGCCATACTTAAAATGGAAGACTAATTTTTCTATAAGGAGGCTTTGAAATTCCCTATTGGCCCAGTTTTGTTTTTGAACAGATCTTTATCCCAAATGTTTGGAGACTGAATTCAATATTACAGCATCAACTAAGTGCTGGTCGAGGACATCAAAGTTGATACTTTTATTTCTGTTTTGTTGTTTGTTTGTTTAATCTTAAACAAGAACAGAAAAGTATATAATTTCTGATTCCTTATTGAAAGACTGAGAAAGAAGGAAAAAGGCTGAGGGAGTCTTTTAATGCTTTTGAACGACTGTAAGAAATTATCTTTCATGCTGAATACACTGTGTAGGAACTCAGGTTTTCCTTGCATATGGGCAGTGGTTGGACTTCGTTCGCAGATTGAAAGAGAAGAGACAGGCAGGGAGCACTATGACTTGTTGAATCAATCTGCAAACATTTGAGGTTTTGCAGCCTTGAAGTTTACTTTCAAGCTATAAAAATAGTTGAAAGAAATCAACTGTCTGTTGCTCTTGTTCAGCCTTGAGAGCTATAAGCTGTGCAAACAGGTAGGAGACTTGAGGGCTGCTGTCTGCCACGTGACCTGCCACTGGCTGACATGGGTGGATGTCTTTCCACTGACATCACTGTGAGGAATAAGGCCTCAGTAAAAGGCAAGTTTCATTGCAAAGTGAGGTGTGGCAACTTTTGCTGTTATCTTTTTGATAGTCTTACATGTTTTTATTTGGGGCAAGGGAGTAGGTTGAGAATTTTTTATTCATTGTTTTTGGTAGGGAACTTACTTTAGTTTGTCATGAAACCTTTAGTTCTTCTTGTTTATCTTCTTCTACGCTTTGCTGATACCTAAATGACTAAAGTTGCTCTTATTTTTCCCTCTTAGTTGTTGAATTTATCTTACGCCAGTAGCATTGGTGATGAGAAAAAAACTCATAACATGAAGGGCAATTACTGTGTATAAAGATGTACATTTACTTAAGTTATATTTATAGATACATTTTTACCACACTGTAACAAGAGTCTTGTTACAGACTTTGGCCTGGGTTCAGTACATCCAATACAGGTATCCATCTGAGGTGCTGAAGTTAGAAATATACGTGCTTATGTTTCTTTGATAGTCAGTGGGGAAGGGGATATCTGATCAGAATTGGTGATCTGAGTGTGACCTTTTCCCCTCCACAGTCGGTTTTAAGAGAGCTTGAGGTGTCCCTTCTAGCTTGGGTGCCTCAACAAGAGCCCAAGTTAGGTAGTATGAATCTTTTATGTAGTAAAAGTTTTTTTTTTTTTTGAGTAATACAAGGCTTTATTATCACAAAACTTGTTGCTGATGCTATTTATTTTTTTTCCCCAAAATTTTTTTCCCTTTTGTTCCCACTACCCTCCTATATCATGCTTGAATTGTATATTTATAAAATCCAAAGCATGACGGATAAAATAATGGGTATAATTTTAGTGAAATAGTGTGTGTGTGTATATGTGAGTGAGAGAATCGGACAAGTAGACTGTATCCATAAAGAAACTTACTCTGGTAAGTAAGTACTGCCTTCCTGTTAACAGTGCAAGGTACAGCTCATTTCAGTTTAAAGCCCTATAAGTATTTGTTGGGGAAGCAGAGAGACCTTGTATGTCCTCCAGATCTTCAGAGGGAAAAGTAGCAATCATTTTTTGTTGGACGCCAACAGTTTGATCGGCCAACTTTTTTTTAGTTTTGTTGCTGATGCTCTTTTCTTGATCTGTTTGCATTACAATCTACATGTTTTCCCCTTTCATTGCAACAGACGGGCCTCCAGGTCATGTTCTCATTTTCGAGTGTGTCCTGTCACTGCCAGTTGAATTGGTGGTGATTTAGGACAATTTAGAAATCCCTTCTCTGCCCTCTGCAGTGTCCCTGTGAATGCTTCCTTCCCCCTGCCCCCACACATTTAATTACATTAAACAGCTGCTCCAGTACCTTGATGCTGACAGCGTTTTTTTGGTCAGTAGATGAACCAAGCCAGCCACAGATCAATGTCATTGATTGAAAAATGTAGAATGTGACAGATGGGAGCATTAGTGGCAGCTTTCTGGGGGAGTGACAGAGAAGGGCTCCCTAAGCTATGGTTCACCTCCCCACTTGTACTGTTTTTTAGGTCGGGGGGGGGAGGTATGTACCATAGGACATGATGAAGGTGTGACTGCTCCACCCACTAACAGGAGGGGGACAGCTTGGGAACGGGACCCCATCAGTAGAAGTTTTCTGGCTGAATCGTTCTGTTCTGGCTGTGCTAACTCCATTTGGGTGTAAGAGAGAGCCAGCAAAAATTACTGTTTGGTTTGTTGGTACGTGGAGTTAGGTGCATGCCGTTCATCTGGCTGAACGTAGCACTGCTGGGTACAGCTGGGTGAGGCCAGAAAGATCCTGCTTCTGCTGAAGACAAGCCTGTAGTCTACTGCCTGTTGTGTCTGTCAGCTGCTCAACCAGGGATCTGGAGGGATTAGGAGCATATCTCATTTAAATGCAGCAAGGGGGAAGAGAATTACTTGTTTAACTGAAGTTTTGGGTGTTACCAAGATCTTTTATTCCCAGGTTCATTCAAAACAGATGGCTGGAGCAGACAGTATTGCCCACGAGAAGCAGTATGGATTCAATTCAAGCTCAGAGTGGATGTGTCTGCAATTTCTATTCAACATAGCTCTAGTGTTTCTGTTCTGTTCATAGCTCTGGTTCTTGTTGAGAAATTTTTTTTGTTCTGTTGAGGAAATACTGGGGAGGTTGCTTTAGAAAGCATCAGGTAGGTGGGAACTTTTAACTGTGGTACTTTGGTATGTAATTTAAGGAGCATATTTGTCATGTTTTACATATCTGTGACTAAATGGTGAGTTTAAGAGAAGAAAAACTTGAGAATTTGAACTCACTTTAGCATGACAGTTATGCTTATATATAGCAGAACAATTTTTTTTTTCCTCCACTTCAGTGGTTCTCAGTCTGAAAACAGCAGTGTTTATCAAGCTATGCTCTGATTAGTCTACTAGACTATTATACTGGAGTTATTTATGCTTACTGAAAACCAGTTGTAGAATGACTTCTCCAATGGTTAAGAGAGGTCTTATGATTTCTGCACTAACCTGTTCACGGCCAATTTTATATCCTTATATTCTTGTGCCAATGCTGACTTCTGGGGGTAAGAAAAGTCCTCCTCTCTTGTGCTTACCTTTCATGTATTTGTAGGATACAGTCGATTCATTTTACAGTTCTTTTGTATTACTAAGCTGCTTCAGTCAAACTCTTCTCTTGCATGAAACTCCTCTGTTCCTGTTTTAGCCTAATAATTATTTTGTGTGCTGATTCCAGTTCAAACTGATTTTTTTTTTTTAAAACTTGATCACAACGGCACTCTTTTTTTCAGTGGGAAATTTTCTAGTGCCTTGTGCAGTGGCATTATTTCTCTCTTTTCACAGCTGAAAGTGTTTTATTTGAGAGAGGAAAAACTGTAGGATTTCCCTTGCCTTTTTTTCTTTGTGGCACTCTGGTTTTGATTTGTGATCTCAGTAATAATGCATGTGCTATTGCTCCTCTCTCATTGTCAACAAATGTTTTTTCCACAGCTTATAGGAATTGCTGTCACCTTTTTACTTAACTTTATTTGCACATTCTTGTCCTTGTTATTTTAAATATCATCATGTCTCTCTTACTCCAATCTTTTCACTATGTTACTCTGTTGTGCCTTGTGTATTGACATGGGACAGTATCTCTTGGTTTAGGATTGTTAACAAATACCAGCTTTTTCTTTTTCTCCAACATTGTTAATAAAAATCTTGCATTAGGTGTAGCCTACAAGCATTCTTCAAGGATCAGACTAACAACCTTCCTTCAGCCTGGTACTTTTTAGCCTTTTGTTTTTTAAAATTTTTTTACCCACGTGTACTGCCTGGTTGTTTATCA